AATGAAGGGTGGGAAGCGAGGGCACGGTGGGATGCAGATGCTGGACAAGGAGGGATGGAGACTTTGGGCGAAGCAGGATGGGCATCCTGGCTGGGGTGGGATGCAGACCCTGGGCAGGGTGGAATGGAGACGCTGGACAAGGGAATTGAGCCCAACACCGGCATTATTGGGTGGGTGGGGAGAACTCAGCCCCATCCCCACCTGGGCTGCAGGAACAGGGCCGGATGCTGCTGGAACTCTGGCCTCCCCTCGCCTTTCCCCCTTGCCCTCTAAGATTTCATCACTGAGCACTTAAGGCCGGGAAAAGCCGCCCGAGCAGCTGCAGGGAGCCGCCGGAGCAGACAGACGGACGGGGCTTTTATTTCGGGGAGCGGCGGCGACGCCGGAGAAACCCCAGCGGCGCCAGCCCCGCTCCGGCCGAGGGGACAGAACCCGGCCCCCCACCCCGCGGGGGTCACGGTCCCCAGGCGCTGGCCGCGGCTTTTTGGGGGGTCTGGCAGGTCCCCAGAGAGGAGCAGAGGAAAATAGCAACGGGATGAGGTCACACAGCGGCTGCAGCCTCTTGAGCAACCTCAGGCCGGGCCGAGGGGACCAGGGCAGGGGGAGAGAGAGATTGGGGGGGCTCAAGAGATGCCCCCAGACCCCAAGACTGGAGATCCTGGGAGCCGAGCAGCTGCTGTGTTTGTCTGGGGAACCAGGGGCGCCCCTGTTTGTGTGCCTGCCTGAACCCCAAGGCAGAAGTGCTCAGGCCAGAGCATTTCCAGGCTGGGATTTTAGGAAATGTTCTTCTGAAATTACGGGGATGGTCCCAAGCCATGTTTGCCCCAGTGCCTCAATAACAGCAGGGCACTCAGCCCACATCCCTCACTGTCTCCCTTGGATGGGCATTACCCCCACCTTTGTGGATAAAACCATTAAAAACAACTCCCTGTGTGACCCTAATCCCCACTTGCACCCCAAAATGTGGCCCCTTCCGGGGTTGGTGATGGGGGGCACCGTGGCTCCTTTGCTGAACGGGATAAGCCAGGAAACACCCCCAGCCCCAGCTGGATTTCATCTGAGAGAGGGCTGGGGGCTGCCTGCCTTTCCCTGGCCTCCCACACCCCCTCCCCATCCCGGCCTTAATGAGAACAAGCTGGTCCCGGGCTGCGACGCAGGAGGAGGAGGAGGAGGAGAAGGAGGAGCAGAGGAGGGAGAAGGAGGAGGCTCCATCCCAGCAGGCTGCAGAAAGGGGCTCGAGGTGTGTGGGACAGATCCCGTCTTCCCGGCTGCCTCCCGCCGGCTGCGGGCGAGGTGAGGATCCCACTGGATGTGCCAAGCTGCTCCCCAATTTTGGGGGGCTCTGGAGCAGGGCAGAGGCTGTGCCACAGCCAGGGGTGCTGCAGTGAGGGCTGGGCATGGTCCCCGTGGCGGGACAGGGGACGGAGTCGGGCACATGGCTGCATTCCCAGGCGGGAATCGGAGCGTGCTGCCTGTGGACAACACCGAAATCCTGAATTTCTGCAGCACTTGGGAAGCGGAGCTGGGAAGGAGCTGTGGGTCTGGGGGTGGGCAAGGAAGGGCTGGAATGGGATTGGGATGGGGTGGAGGGCTGGCAATGCCCGTGGTGCCAGGCCCAGCTCTTGGCACTGCTCTGGGCTTTGCTCAGCCCCTGCATGGCCACGCTGCTCCTCAGCTCTGATGGCTGCCGAGGAATTGGTGCCGTCCCCATCCCGGGACCCCTTTCCCGCTGAGGGGCCCCTGTGTGGGGTGGAGAGGAGGATGAGGGGGCTCATCTCAGCCCCTCCAACCCTTCCTTCTCCCGGTGCTGGTCAGTGCTGTGACCCCACAGCCACAGCAGTGCCCATGGGGAGCCGGGAGGGTTGGGGGTCGGGACACCTCCCACCTCTGCTGCCGTTTTTTGCACCGGATTAATGGAAACCAGATTGTGCAGCCAGGAGAGAGCCTAGAAGCCAAATCCTGCTGCTGGAGTCCCTCTTGTTCTGTAGAGCTGCTGGCTTGGGTTTGTTTGGGGGGAAAATGGGATGTGGGTTGGGATTTGAGGAGTCTGAGGTTGGGGAATTGTCATGGGGGTCCCTGTTAAAGTACCTGGGGAGCTTTTCTTGAGACCTCCCTGTAGAGTGTGGAGGGAAAGAGCCCTGGGAAGGGCTCGGTGGCGTTATGTGGCGTGGCACGCGTGGATCCCTCGGGAATGTCTCGCAGTGGAGACGGTCACGTCTCAATCCCAAATCCCAAATCCCGTGGGGTGCAGAGCCCAGCCAGGGGCTCACCCCGGGGGTGGGAACCGTGTGTCCTGTGTCCTACAGCACACTGTGGGCTGTGGAATGGGGCAGATCCAGCCCCATCCGGGTGAGGAGCACAGCACAGGGACAAAGCCAGGCCTTCCCCTTCCCAGGGATGCTCAGGCAGCCCAGACCTCATTCCCTGCACCCCAGCTCTGGGGCTGCCCCTTTGTCCCACACCCCCTCCCGGCTCCACTCAAGCACATGGTGGCACCAGGGTGAAATCCTGCCCCAAACTATTTTTAGCCGTGTTCCAGCTGGGAATTAACGGTCTGGGACGGCGGTTGGGAAATGCCTCTTGCGCCAGGCCTGGCCCTTTTGTAGCGTCGCCTGTGTCAAAGTTTCCACTGCAAACCTCCATTTTTCAGGAATTCTCTAATCAGCCAAATGACCGTTGTCTGGAGCTGGGTGCTGGCAGCAGCCCCGGTCCCCAGCCTTGAGCAATCCCACCCAGCTGGCTTCCAGCTGTGCCCTTGGAAAACAAACACAGCCCCCTGCTCTGTCAGGGCGAGAAAACTGGAGCTGCCTTTCCACTTCCATAAGGAAATCCAGGCGGGTGAGGGCTGGCTTGGGGGGCTTGCTCTGTTGGGGTATTAACGTGTCCCTCACCTCTCTGCATCCCACAGGTTTCCTGCAGGAATCCTGGGAATGGGCTCAGCCATGGGCACGTGGTTGCTGCTCTTGGTGCTGCTGGTGGCAGCCCCAGCAGAGGCGGCGGCGCCGCGGCACCGCCCGGTGCTGCCGGACACTGCTGGCAGCGGGGACGGGGACGAGGCCTCAGCCACGCTGCCCGCCCAGCCCGTGACCCCCCGCATCAGCCCCACCGTGGGGGCGGCACCGGGGACCACCGTGACCAACAGCTCGGCGCCGGGCGTGCTGGACGGGCTGGTGGACTTCTTCAAGGAGTACCTGCTGCTGGTGGTGGTGGTGGGCTCGCTGTCCTTCGTCCTCCTCTTCATCATCTGCGCCGCCGTTATCGTCCGGCAGAAGCACAAGGCCTCCGCATACTATCCCTCCTCCTTCCCCAAGAAGAAATACGTGGATGAGCGGGACAAGTCGGGGGGAGCGCGGGACTTCAGCGAGGTGCCCGACAAAGCCCCTGAGGCCGGCGCGGAGGAGCCGCTGGACGGCGGCCGCCAGCTCCAGGCCGACATCCTGGCTGCTGCCCAGAACCTCAAATCCCCCCACAAGGCACCGCTGGCCAACGGGGCCCAGGGCGAGCAGAATTCCCCTCAGGAAGAGAAGGAGAAGGAGGAAGAGGAGGAAGGAAAGATGAAGTCGGGGGATGAGCAACCCAAGCCCCCTGCCCAAAATGCGGGCGCGGAGGAAGCGGCGAGCGCAGGAAGCAAGGATGGAGGATGCAGCCCTGATGCCTGCCAGGATGGCTCCCAGGCTCCCTCTGGAATCTGAGGCAGGGACACGGTCCCGGGCAAGCCTGAGGAGCTGCTGCCCTGGGACACACCATGGACAGGGTGGATCAGGCTCTGTATGTACGTGGTGGCTCAAGGAAGCCCCGATGAAGATCCCGTTCCCTCCCAGCTCCCCCGACCCCGGTACTGATGGGATGCTCCAAGGGGGATTTGCCAGCTGGTGGGTTTCCCCAGCACTGGAACGCTGTCAGCCCCAGCTCCTGCTGCCCAAGGGGCTTCTCCCACCCCAGGCACTGCAGCTCTGCCCCCCCTGTGCCAACAGCTTCCTCCCAAATGTTATTTTAATCAGCAGCAGCAGCCTGGTCTGCGCCGGGCTCCTGGCTGGGAGCTGTGTCCCTCTGGGAGAAGGGATGGGAGCAGGGCTGGAGGTCTGTGGGACACAGGTCAGCTTTGCCCAAGGCCACCCAAGGGAAAGAGGGATGAGGATTTAGGGACAAGGACTCTCTTTTCCTTCTTCCACCCCAGAGCCCAGCTGGATTTTTGCCTCACTTGCTGAACCCCTTCAGCTAGAAATAAACATTTCCTCCGCACAGCTCCTCTCCCGTGTGTGTCTCAGCCGTGGGGTGCCCAGGGGACAGTCCCCGTGTCCCTGTGCTCCCCCAGGGGCACAGCTGGATTGGACTCCAGGGCCAGTGGAGCCCTGGGCAGGGTGTTATCAGTCCCCACATCAGCACATGACGTGCCCTTCCAGGAAACCTTTATCTTGTACCCACAGCTGCGGGGCTGAGGAGGGGCTGTGGGGACTCAGCCAGGGCCCTGGGGTGCAGCTGCTGCAGTGGGGACAGCAGGGAACCCTGGAAGGTGAGTGAGGCTGCTCTGCCCCCAAAGCAGCACATCCCTGCACCCCCGAACCTCCTGTATCCCTGTGTTTTACCCCATCATGCCCTTGCCTCAGGACAACCTTCCCTTGGGAAGCGTGTGCCACCACAGAGCTGGTTTTGCCCCAAAGCAAATGTGAGTGGGTGAAGCTTCCCTGATTTTTTTTTAAACCAGGAAATAGCAGGATGGTTCCATGAGGGAGAGGCACATTCCTCACTGCTGGAGGGTGCCAGGAGCTGAGGAACCACAAGAGGGACCTTGTGAGTGACAAACTCGCAGCAGCAACGTGTGACCTCTGTGTTCACAATTACAAATATTGTGCCCGGATGGAGCAGGATGAGACAATTATTTTTTTTTTAAATGTGGTTTTAAATGTTTAACAACACCCTCAGTATGAAAAATGGGAAGTGATGTGTCTCGTGGGGGGGTAGAAGGTTAAAAAGTGAAGTCTGCCAATGTGTTGTCTGCTTGGTTTGGAAATACTCCTCCAGAAAAGAGGAACTCTGGGAGCTCCCCCTCAGCTCTGCATTCCAGCTCAGCTGTTCCCCACTGGGGTTCCAGTCTGAGGGTGTACTTTAGGGAATATTGGAATGGTTTGGGTATGAAGGGATCTTAAAGACCATCCAGTTGCAAACCCCTTCTTTGGGCAGGGACACCTTCCTCTAGCCCAGGATTTACAGCTCTAAGAGAGCACCTGGTGAACGAAGAAGTGAATTCTTAGAGAAAACACCCCAAAATTCAGGCTGTTCCTCCAACAAGTGCTTCAAAAATTAAGTGGTGACAGGATGGGAGCAGAAACCACTGGTGTTTCCTGGTCACTTTTCCCTTTGGCACCAACAAAACATTCCCAGAATTCCAAGAGCAGGAATTTGCTCCTGGATTACGAAACCAACCCTGACCCAGCCAGAGCCAGGGACAGCCCCACATTTCTCACACACACACACACATCCAAACCAGGGCAACGCTTCCCACCAAATTCCATAAGATATTAGGCAAAACTAGACATCTTCCCAAAATAAAAACGAAAAGTGCAGCCCTTCCAGTACCGGACAGCGGGGTTTGGTCTCCGGAGCGGAGTCGTCCCGCGACATTCCCGAGGGGACAGCAGCCCCCAGCCAGGGGAGCACTAGGGGGTGCCTGGACACCACAGCGACACGTTGTGCGTAACTTGTGCGTATCTTACAGCTCGAGTAGTGCACAGGGTCCTACAACAGCTCGGGAATTGCGCTGCAGAGTGAGCAGGGAGTGAGGAGGGGAAGCTGCGCAGGCAGTTCAGGCATTGTCGGCTGTTTTGTCGGATTCTTTGTTGGATTCTCTGTTTGGATCCTGCTTCAGTTTGTAATCAGCCAAGGCGGCCTTGATGGCGTCTTCAGCCAGCACTGCAAAGCAAAAAAAGCATTTAAGGACAATTCAGGGGCTTTCAGGACAAAACAAATAAAAACAAATGCAGGCAGCAGTGAGGAAACGACCAGCAGCATAGACTGGCCTTAGGAGTAGAATCTGAATGGAATTTCTAAAATACTGAATTCCTACAATGCTGATTTCATGAAATATAACTTCAGATAACAAGAGAATTCGGAATCTGACTGTTTATTATCAGTCTGCTGAGCTACAGGCTCCAAAATATTGAAGGGATCTGATAATTCTTGAATTAACCCTGAAATCTGAACATGTCTTCTCTTAAGGACAAGGTTGTGCAGAAATTGTTTGGAAAACAGCCTTCAGAAGCATCTGTGCTATTTCCAGAGTATCTGAGAACCAGGGTTTTTACTTACTGGAGCAGTGCAGTTTGACAGGGGGAAGGCAGAGTTCCTTGGCAATATCTGTGTTCTTGATTTTCAGCGCTTCATCAACCTGGAACACAGGCAGAGGTGGTCAAGGGCCCTGCTCTTTGTGTTTGCTAGGAAGGTTTAATGCTGCAGAGCCAACAGAATCCACAGGAGAGATCCTCTCAGCTGCCCAGGGCAGTGAGGGATGTGGGAATTAAGCAATGTCTGATGACATATCAGTGTAACACACTGTCCCCACCTGGCCTGTTCCAAATCTGTTCATCCTCTACCACAACACTGAGCTGCATTTGCTGCTGGCAAAAATGATCTAAAAGTTCTCTATAATTAAAATTTCTGCCATCAGCCTGGTTTCGCTGATTGCATAAGACACAAAGAAATTTCCTGGTGGAATTGTTCCACGTAGATATGGCACTTGAGGATATGATCAGTGGTGGAGCTGCCAGTGCTGGGAGAGCAGCTGGACTTGATGTTCTTAGAGGGCTTTCCCAACCTTAATGATTCTCTGATGAGAAAAAGACAATTACTGCCCTACAAGTGAAACCCTGACAGCGCTGGCAGTCACTCCTACAGCACAGAGCAGTGCAGGGATTCCCTGGAGAGCATTTCCTCCATGATCCCAGCAGAGAACACAGGCACGTGGGAAGCCCTGCAGCCTTCCCGGAGCTCCCTCACCGTTTTCCCTTTGACCCACTCCGTGGCCAGCGAGCTGGAGGCAATGGCTGAGCCGCAGCCGAACGTTTTGAAGCGAGCGTCCACGATCTTGCCGTTCTCATCCACTTCCACCTGCGGGAGCATTTTGGGGACACTTCAGTGCCCGGTTCAGCCCAGCCAGATCCCCCCAGCCGGGCCCGACGGGAGCGGGACTGGCCTGGCATGGGGCACAGGGCACGGCCAGGGCGGGCATGAGGGAAGGTGAGGGGACACGGGCAGCTTTAAACCTGGCAACAGCCCCGTGTGACCCCACCCAGGCG